CAGAGAGCAGGAAGCCGAGGAACAGCTGCTGGCGGAAACCTCCTCGCAGGTAACAGGAACTGCTGCTCCATCTGGGAATGGGCTGGAAACAAGCACCCTGCCCACTTGGGAGGGGCTTAAAGAGCAAGAAGGACAAGTTCCTGTTACGTGGGTTTGATCTCAATAAAAATAAATAAATAAATAGCCAGGTATGGTGCCACATCTCTGTCATCCCAGCACTCGGGAGGCTGAGGCAGGAGGATCACTGTGAGTTTGAGGCCAGCCTGAACGACGTAGCAACACCCCGTCTCAAAAACTCAAAACTAACTAAATAAATAATAAAAAATAAATAAAAGGACGCAGATCCTCAGGCTGAGAGCCACATGGTAACGAGGGTATTTTTAGAAAAATGAGGACAAGAGTCTCAAGTGTTTCATGGCAAGCGTTGTGGTGTGGGGAGGGGACAGGCACGAGGGCTCTGACCTGGGCACCCAGCATCTGAGGGGGAGAAGCACCCTGTCTGAGCACTGGGCAGTGACTCGGGTGGCAGAGCGAGAAGAGATCAGCCCTCAGGCAGGAGCAGGGTGTGGCTTCCGGACACCATGGCCTGGGGGGGGGGGGCAGGGAGCCCTGGCCTCAGGGGTGAAGGCGCCAAATCCCAGCAGCATCTCGACTAGCGAGTCTGCTGGTAGCAGTTGGGACCTGCAGGATGCCCGGCCCCTGACCCTCCTCGAATCCTGAATTATCCTGGTTTTTCTGGATTAAGGCCCAAAGGTCACAGCCGCAGGGAAACCTGTCCCCACGTCCCTCGTCTCTGGCTCGGGATGTGGAAGGAACTTCCTGAGGACCAGTGTCCACCCCGTCCGGAGCTGGCAAGCAGACGGAGCCCACTGGGCCCAAGGACAGCCAGGCCGTGGCAAGGACGCGCATCTGCTGCCCACACACAGCTCCCAGCACCTCCGGCCATTCTGTCCCCAGCTCAGCGTCTCCTCCTGACCACTCCATTCACACCCGGCCCCTCCAGGCTGCTCCACCACCTCCTTGCCAGGCCACTGGGAAGCACGAGACTTCAGGGGACACCAGGGTCTCTCGGCTTTGTCTCCCCTAGCACCGCACTGACTCGGAGAAGGAGCAGGGTTGGCAGACCCAGCTTCCGCCCTCGAAGGCGTCGCGTGGTAAACTGAGCCTTAAGATTGCTTGAAGCTCACTTGACTTACACTGCCATTTAAGTGGCTCTGACTGCCAAAGTCCAGATGGTCGCTTACAGCACACCCTCTGCCATCCTGAGTAACACAGAGAAGGAACACTCGCAGACGGGCCTCCTGCTCTCACAGAGAACTGCAACAATGTGAAACTACCATGCTTCCTTCCCTCTGTCCTTGCACTGGGAGAAAAGGGGATCCATGCAACCCTGCACGTCAGCATCAGAGACTCCATTGCACACAGTGAGAGCACGATTTATGCAGAGTCCCAGGAACAACCACACACACCGTGGTTTCCAACTTCCCACGACTGCCAGGTGTTCCCCCAAAAGCTTTTTACGCTAGACCCCAAAACAGAACAGCAGCAGGGAAAGGAGGGGAGGGGACCGAGCGGGTCACCCCCTACCTTAACCTGGAATCCTACAGCTGCAGAAGGAGAGCTTGGAAGCTGCGACCCTGGAAATAGCAGGACCCCAGGACAGCACCCAGTTATAAATGGCAGAACATCTCCTTAAAGGGGCAGCGCCTCCCCAGCAGAGGCCTGCATGCGGCCAGAGTCAGGCAGGAGTGAGCATCCCTGGGTATGGGATGCCTGTTACCATGGAAATGGAAGGACCTAAGTCAAAGGGATCCCCCCGGCTGTGCCTGCTTACAAATCCTTCCTTTTCCTCATAACAGATCGGCAACCTTCCCTTCCTCATAGGATCCCAGCTTCTCCTTGTTTTGTTTTTTCCTTTTGGTGGTACTGGGAATTGAACCTACAGCCTTCACACTGAGCTACATTCCCATCCCTTTTGATTTGAGACAGGATTTCATTAAGTCACTAGGTTGCCCAGGCTTGGCTAGAACTTGTAATCCTCCCGTCTCAGCCTCCCAGAGTGCTGGGATGACAGGTTAGCACTGGTGCTCCTGGCTTGTGTTTAGCAGCACTTTCCAAAAAAAGAAGTGTAAGGGCTGGGGATTTAGCTCAGCAGCACCATACCTGCCTCGCAAGCACAAGGTCCTGAGTTTGATCCTCGGTACCAGAAAAAAAAAAAGGGACCAAAGAAAGAAGTGTGTAATGCAGGACCTGAAAGGCCTCCCCGGGCACTTCTCCAAGCCTGAAAGACAGACATGGAGTGGGAGAGGCGGAGAAGGCCAGCCAGGATCCTCCCAGGAGGTGGGGACACCCCAGCTCAGTGTGTGAACAAAAGGGTGCCAGCTTTTCTTTAACCCCAGCCCCATCTTGCTCATGCTTCGGGTTCCGTTTATCTGATCTTTAAATCAGAAGCCAGAGTGGCAACCACAGGCCCCGCAGAGGGGACACGGAGCACAGCGGAAACCGGGCAGGTGTGACCCGGCCAGGCATCATCACGCTGAAGCTTGTGCCTGCCCACACCCAGGGGGGGACAGAGGGGAGCTGCTGCGGCCAGGTGAGGGGCCCCCTCGGGCCCTGAGGCGACCACACCCGCCCTGTGCCACCCAGAGAGGGACACTGTGCAATGTGGTCCCGTGGGACTGAGCTCCCGCCGGGCTGTGGCTAAGCTGAGCCGCTGGCTCCACAGTGTGCACCAGGGTCCAAAGATCAGGATGCCGGGCGGCACTGAGTCACTGTCCTCATGGTGGTGAAGTGGGCATGGCCACTAAAGAGATCACAAATGCAGAGAAGCAGGGAAAGGAGCTACAGGACACGCTCCAGCTATTGTCCAGCCATTACACACACGGTTCAAATCCTGCCTGGGTCGCTGCTGAGCGCCAGGGCCGTGGCGGGGCCACCGGAGCAGGCTCATAACAGGCTGAGCCTCACGTAACGCAACTTCCCCAACAGCACTCTGCCAGAGGCCTAAGGGAGCCTCGGTGAGACAACAGCTGGGATCACAGCGAGAGGCCCAGGACTCTGACCTGCCCGTCCTTTAAAAAGCAACACCCTTGCGCACTCAGAGACGGGGTTCAGGCAAGGTGACTGAATCAGGGAACTTTCAGCTGACTTGCTCTTGGGAAGAGGGGGTCACTGTGGGTTTGACCCGGAAGAGCTTGCCTCCCCCCAGCTCCTGCCTTCTCTCTGCTTCCTGTCTGCCAGGAGGTGAGCAGCTGCCCGCTCAGGGCTCCATGGGGGTGACAGCGACTCCCACCTGGCCCAGCTGCTCCATCTGCCCCAGGGAGAAATCTGCCAGCCCCTTCTGCTGTGACAAGACCACAAGACACTGGTGACACCAGGCAGCAGGGACAGCATCAGAGCTCTGTCTGGTGTGACGTGAAAATAAGACAGCAGGACAGGACTGGGAGGCTCTGGGAGCCTCCGGCTCCGAGCTCTGGTCTCTCCTGACCCAGCTCCCTTTCATTCTCAACTGGGACTTGCCCTGGGCTCCCTGCAGGCTGCCACACTGCGTGCCCAGCCTGGTCCCGGTCCTGAAGAGCCCTGCACACATGCACACAGCCCCGTGGATTTGACCCGGCCGGGAGCACAGGGCCACGGGACAGGAGGAGCCAGGACGTGGCGTGCGTCTCCTGGCTGAGCCAGGGGCCTAGACCTTGACCACACCACTGCTTTCCCATGCAGAAAGCAGAGCGGGGCCTCCACAGAGAAGGCAGCTTCCTAACAAAGGCCTGGGCCAGTCCAGGCATCTGAAGAAAGGCAGCTGCATCACACATTGGGGTTTTCTTTAACCAGGAGGTGGGCGGGGTAGAAATGGCCAGAGCCCAGGTTCTGGGGCTGCCAGGACCAGGGCAGCATGGGGCTTTGGCCCTGTACCAGCTACAGCTAAGGTGCTGCTTCCAGCTCAGAGATCACCCGCTTTCCAGGCTCAGGAGGCACCTTGTGGAAACACTCCACAGGGAGTGCCACTTGTCACGTCCGCAGGCTGGAAACGCGAAGTTTAACTTGTTTCTCTGATCATTCATTCGGCAAATGCAAACGCGCACTGACGCACTGAACGTCTGCTCTGGCGTGAATACCCTTCCCTCCCACACTTGTGCTGTAACCTGAGCCGGGGGGGGGGTGCAGAATAGGAGGCAGAGCCTGGAGGGGACAATCCGTCAGGATTAGTGGGGGCCTATAAAAGAGGCCGGGCTCTCCACCCTCCTTCTGCCCTGCAGGACACAGCAAGAAAGGAAAGAAGGGCACCGCACCCAGGAAAGGGCTCTGACGGTTTAGACCTGAAGTGGCCGCACGCCTCCTGGTGTGGAGGTGATGGATCCCGGGCGCTGCCCCCTCACTGGGTTCACTGTGGATGAGTTCAGGGCTAAGTGAGCCATCAGGGGCGGGGCCTGGCTGGAGGGGTCCCTGGGGTGACTTGGGAGGCTGTGCTCCTGTCCCCGGCTCCTCCCTTCTCCCCCTGCTTCCCGGTCCAACAGCTTCTCCAATCCTCTGTGCCGTGGAGCAGACGACCCTGGACAAAGCTGTCCAAGTGGACCCCTCCTCCCTGAAGCTGTGGGTGTTGGGCATTCTGTCCAGCAAAGGGAAGGGACAAGCACAAGGGGCCTCACCAGGACACAGCCTGATCCTGGACTTCCTGAGCAAGGCAGTGGAAACAAGGCCACCAGTCCCTCGCCCATGCAGGGACACCATCGGCCGATGCCGTGACCACCATGTGGCACCCAAAGGCACAGGAGATGGCAACACACAGGCAGCTCCGGGCTCCTGGGGGTGTGACCTCGCCAACCAGCCTGCTATCCACTACAGCTTTGAAAAAGCGCTGATTTAAATCTACCAAGCCAGGCTGGGCACGGCGATGCACACCTGTAACCCAGCACTCTGGGAGGCTGAGGCAGGAGGATCGAAGGTTTGAACCCAGCCTGGGCAGCTTGGTGACTTGGCCAGATCCTGCCGGGAACACGCACCTTCACCGTCGGCACTCAGGTTCTCATAGGAATCCCAGCAGATGAGGGGGTCTGCCGTGTTGAAGTCCACAAGGATGCGGTGGTCGTTGTACAGGTGCTCAGAGCCTGGGGACACAGTGGGCGTCAGTCCCGGCAGAGCCCTGTGCCCATCCTCAGGGCTAAGCTGAGGCCATGTTTTACAAGGAAGGAGAAAGTGCTTCGCACACAGCTATCTGCAGTACCCTGGGCTTGGAGTCCCCTCCGACACTGCACAGTGTTATTTGTCGATGAGAGAAATAAACAAGTAGCACAAATGCCCAGGAGACAGAGGCTGAGGCTCGAGGACGCTAAAAGGACACTGACACTGGCCTGGGCCAGCCGAGCCACCCCTGCGGCTGGTTTTTGTTTCATTTTGTTTGAGGTACAGCTCAAACTTGGGAGCCTCCTGCCTCAGCCTCCCGGAGTGCACCGCCACGCCTGGCTACCTCTAGGAATGCACCACCCAGCACAGGTCACATCTCCGAGCCACCTGCTCCCTGCTGCCCCAAGTCCTCTAATCACGGGAGTCCCCAGGGTGCTTGGGGGTGGGAGACTGCACCACAAGTCCAGGCCCCCAGCACCATCTTCAGCCAGCACCATGGTCCGTGCAGCCACCGGCACCCACCTTGGATCTTCTCCGGCGTGGCCGAGAACAGCAACTCCACCTTCCCGTAGTCAGGGAAGCGGTCATCTGAAAGAGAAAGCAGGCTGCAACGGGCTCGGCCTCTGCAGGGATCTGCACAGCATCCAAAGGTCCCAGGTTCAGGCTTCCTCCCGGCCGGCGGCCAGAGCCCCTGGCTGCGTCTGGGGTCAGGGCAGGGATGTGAGCGACATCGCCCCTCACCGCCACAGGCGCCGTCCAGCTCCTCCTTCCCCAGCACCAGCGAGTGGCCCCGCACCGCACCCGTGTGGAACTGCAGCCGGAAGACCACGTCGCGCGTGGCAGAGTGGTGCTTCTTGTGGTAGCACTTCACCTGCGGGCAGGGGGGGAGGGACAGCTGAGAGGGGCGCAGGGGCCGGCCAGGGGCAGGCGGCGCTAACAGGGGCGGCGACCTTGGACACAGTGGGTGCAGGCACCCTGTGGGGGATGACAGTTTCCGAGCACCGTGGGCCCCGGATGGTTGCCCCGAACCCTTCCAGACCCCGGCTGGGCCCTTTGGGAAGAAAGACAGCTGAAGAAAGAAATCCCGGGGCCTCTCGCCTAGACTCAAAACCTGACTGTGATAAAGAGGGTCTTTGGGGTCTAAACTCTCGTGTTTCAACTCAGTCATTCAGTTTGCACAAAAAGGAAGTGGCCAATTGTGACACAGAGGGACAGAGGGAGGGAGGCAGGGGACAGGGCCAGAGGCCAGGCCGAGAAAGGCTTGGACAGACAGAGGCACGAGGCCCAGCACCCGCCGTCAGATGCCCACGAGGCAGCGGTTGTAAGGGAAGCCTTCCCAGCAGGGCCACTGGGATTCAGACTCAGGCTGTAAGGAGCTGGGGTCCTGGGGTTTGCGGGGTACAGCACCAGTTGCCTGGTGAAGGGACCATCTCGGGTACCAGACAGAGGGGGCCGAGGCCTTGCTAGGCCCTCTGGTCACAGGTGCCCTGGGACCAAGGCAGGCAGGACGGCCACTCTCCGAAGGGAGGCTTCTCGAGACGCCAGACGGCCTTAACTACCTCGCACAGCCGGGTGCAGTGGTGCACACCTACAAACCCAGCACTCAGGGCAGCTGAGGCACAAGGGTCACGAGTTCAAGCCCAGCCTGAGCAACTTAGCAAGACCCTGTCTCCAAAAGAAAAATTTTAAAACAAAACAAAAGGGGGCTGGGGAAGGAGCTCAGTGCAAAGGCCCTGGGTTCGATCCCCAGAACCTCAAAAATCACACGCTTCCTAATCTATGAGGAGCAGTAGCAGGGCAGGTGCGACGCTGACGGGCGACACAGGGCGGGGTGAGCTGATGCCTCCGTCTCCCATGCAGCACAGAATCCTTGCTGCAGACACCAGAGAAAGAGAAATCCACACCCAGAACCTTCCACAGGAGCCGCTGGATGCCAGGATGGCTGAGCACTTCACACCCTCTGAGGGCCATGGGCTCCTGGAGCACAGACACAGCCCGGGATGCACACAGTCCAGGGCTTTGCAGGACCCATGAGGCGGGGAAGCCCACGCCCTCCTACCAGGCTCACTAATCCCCCGGACCACAGGTACCCCAGGCCTCCTGCTCCGAGATGCCCCAGGCCACCGTGCAGGGAGGCAGGCAGCAGTGATCCAGCTGCAGGCGGCATCCGCAGGTAGGTCACGCTCCCCACTGCCCAGCAGACCTCATGCTCCCCGGAAAGACAGAAGCCGCAGGATTTTCCCCAGCCTGGGCCTCCTGGCTGGGCAGACCCTGAGGGGAAACCAGTCCCAAGCAGGACGCTGGCCTGGCAACCTCTGGTGCCCGAGGGATGGAGACCAGCACTGCCCTGGTAACACTGGGCTGCAGGGCAGGGCAGCACCTCCAAGACATGCAGGGTCTCACAAGAGCTCTGGGGCTCCCTGTCAGCACCGGGCATGGCTCCGTCTACCTGGCCTCCCTCCGATGTCCTAGAACCAGGAGTCCTCGGCCTGGCAGCTCCAAGGCAGGCAGGAAGGAGGCCCCTCCGACCCCTCTCCCCATGGAGTCTGTCCACGCCCGACACCTTCCACAGCGTGACCACGAGGGTGGCCAGGATGAACCCCGCTCCCCGGGGGCTTGGATGTTTAGGATTTCACACCTGAGTGCAACACAGGGAGGAACGGAACGGTATGTCACTGTTTTGTTGAACAGATATAACGAGTGCTACAGATTAACCCAGCACAGAGCCAGCTGTAGCTACCTGCAGTGAGTTGTCTCCACCTGCAGCTCGAGCGCTGCACCTGCCCAAGCCATATCCTGATCAGCCAAGATAAAAAGTATTCAAGATGATGCAGCATCTGTGTGAAACATTAAGGACTTTTTTCCTTTCTGTTCTTCTCTAAACATAGGGTACAACACATAGGTTTTTTTTAGTTCTTGTTTTTAGCAGTTCTGGGGATCCATCCCAGGGCCTTTGCACTGAGCCACATCCCCTGCTTTTTTTAGTTTTTTATTTTGAGACAGGGTCTTGCTGGCTCACTAAGTTACCCAGACTGGCCTCACATTTGCGGTCCTCCTGCCTCAGCCTCCCAGAGTACTGGATAATAACTATTTGCACCACACTGGGTATTACACATAACCTAGGGAGGTTGGAAAGTCTGGGGAGGGTGCACGCACACAGGCTCTGTGCCAATGCAAGATCATTTTATACACGACTCAAGACCCCTGCACGGCTGCTGGAACCGTGTTCTGTGGACCTGGAGAGGCAGCTGTGTCTGTCACTAAGGGGGTGCTGCTACGGAAAACGTCCTTGGGGCTAAAAAGCACGGCAGGAACACATACACCCAGGAGAAGGTCTGGCGTACCATGCTCCCTTCCTGTTGATGAGAAACTGGGAACCCAGCCTGGCCTTATTTTCTAGCGGTGGCCTGAAGCTAAGCCGATGCCCCTCGGGACTCTGTGACCACGAGGACCAGGCGCCAGGCCCTGCTCTGGCCGTGCTCAACCTCAGGTGTGCCAAGTTCTCAGGCCACATGGGTGTCCTATACTGCGAACCCCATCAGCAGGGAGTCGACCATCTTAGACCCAGGTTCACCCCAAGAACCCTCACCCCTCTTCCAGCACTCAGCCCAGTGCAGCCAGCTCCGCACTCCTCGCCAAGCAGGCCACTGTCCAGGCCCTGCCCGACCTCCCTGCAATGTCCTAAGCCAGGCGCCCCTCACAGCAACGGAAACCAGGCTCTCTTCCAACACGAGCAGGATGGTCTCAGCGTCCGGGGATCTGGCCTGGGAACGAGTGGAACCACAGGGCTGGAGGTCAAGGACAGCTGAGCCATGTCAGCCCCAGGCCCTGCACCGCAGGACCAGCTCACACACGCTCTCCATCGGGCTGACTGGCGTCACACAGTGATGCTGTGACTCGTGGACAGGGAGCCGGGTCTCACCCGGCCTGCAGAACCAGAAGGGGGCCTGGTCCAGGTCATCGCCAGGGGGCACAGGGCCACGTCCCCTGGTCTAACACAAGCACCCACTTTGAGAAACAGCACGGCGCCATCTGCCCAGAGCTCACAGATCCCGAGGCCTGGCCTGTGCTTACAGCTCCCGGAGCCCGCCAGTGTGAAGACAAAACCCACGTGGTCCTGCATCTGCCCAGGCAGGGACAGCAAAACAGGGGGCACGGAGCTCATGACCCCGGCCCGCACTGCAACCCAGGGCTGAGCTGGGTCAGGATGACAACACGGCTCCTGGGACCCAGGGTCCTGCCCTGGGAGCAGAGGACTAAGAACTCTGAGCTTCCAGGAAACGCAGGCTGCAGACAGGTGGGTGCCAGTAACAGTACCAGGTCAGAGGAGAGCAGAGCCTGCCCTCGGGGGTCACCCCAACCAGTCCTGGGGACACTGGCCCTTCCTGCTGTGCGCTGGACCCCCACCGCCTCCAACCCCATGAAAAGACCTGCAAATCTCTACGCAGAGCAGACATCGCCAGCATCAGCGAGGATGGATGGATAGAGGAGGACAGGGCACCTTGAGGAAGAAGCAAGGAGGGGAATTTCCAGCTCACGGCAGCCTGGGCCTCGGGGTGGGTCCGGACTACATAGCCTTCCCAAGCCACGGCTATGGCCAAAGCCTTCCTGGGAAGTGAAGCCGCTGGCGCCCTCAACTCTGCCCAGGGGCCTGAGACCCTCCTTCCCCAGCAGCCTGGGGCCGAGACCTGCAGGTGCAGGTGGAGCAGGCCTGGACCAAAGGGTGGGGCAGGCGGGGGCATAGGGCACCCCGGTGGCTGTCCGGGTTCAGCTGGAGGAGGAGAAACCTGTGACACTCTGCATTTTCAAACCTCAGGACCCCATCACGGCCCCGGGAGGGGCATGGCGGCCTCGTCCCTCGGGGAGCCCTGCAACCAGGGACATGCTGGGTTCCACGTCTGCCCGCACCAACCCGAGGTCGAGTTCAGGGCAAAGCAGCAGCACTGGAGGACTCAGCTTTCGCACAACGAGGACTCCTGGGCTGAGATAGGCCTGTGAGCCGGGACACTGGGCTTCCGCCCCGGCCACCACTGCCACAGCTCTGCCAGGAGGCTGCTGCCACTGCCTGCCACACAGGCCGACTCCCACCCGGCTGGACTGCGAGTGTGACATTCACTGCCTCCTCACAGGCAACCAGACCCAAGCACAGCCTATGTTCATGCTCCACGTCACCCTTCCAGGCCACACCAGTGCGGCAGCGGCTCCCCTGGTGAGCAAACAGAGCCAAAGCCTGGCTCTGGGTTCAGTTCCCAGCAGGACAAAAGGCAGACTTTAAAAGAGCAGGCCGATCAGATGCACTCCAGACTGGGTCCTTCGAAGAAGAGCTTCGATCTGACGGAGAAGGAAAACTCGTGACCAAGCCAGGCGGGCAGTGGCCCAGAGAAAGCAACGCCACTCACACCTGAACCTTGGGCCTCTGGTCTTCGGGACTGCGAGAGAAAAGAACCCTGTTTCCCACGGCACTGGTCTGTGGTGCCTCGCTGGGGTCAGGCGCCCTTGTGGGCTTCGAATAGGCAAACTGCTTAGCTCATCACCTCTGCGGCCAGGGCAGGATGGAGAATCACCTCCCACCTCCCATCTGATAATGCTGCAGATAAACACAGAGCGGAGCGCACAGAAAACCACTGCAGACACAGGAAGCATCGGGCAAGGCGAAGGCTCCTGAAGGCTCCTGAACTGCTCTGCTCGGGACAAGGAAGGGAATGGGAAGGAAGGGTCTTATCAGCAAGTGTCTCCTTGAAGGGCAAGGCTCTCTGCTGGCAGGACTCGAAGGAAGAAATCCTCTGGGACAAGGGGCCCCGTGGCAGGAAGCAGGCTCCCTGGAGACCCAGCTAAACCCCACACCCATGCCAGACTGCTCAGCCTCCAGTTCTTTTTTTGGTACCGGGAATAGAAATCAGGACGTTGTGCTTGCAGGTAGGCATGTCACCACTGAGCTAAATCCCCAGCCTTCCAGTTCTTTCCTCTTTCTTTGCTTTTGCAATCCAGGGCATTGGACCCAGGGCTACAGCCCTCCCCCCACCCCCCCACCCCCGCCCATTTTCATCTTTACTTTGATAGTGTCTTTCTGAGTTGCTAATTTGCTTGAACTTGGGATCTTCCAGCCTTAGCCTCTCCAAATGCTGGGACTGCAGGTGTGCACCACCATGTCTGGCTGCTCCCCTGTCCTGCCTCATCGGTAGCTCAGTGTGAAGGTCCCAGGTTTAACCCTCAGCACCAGAAATACATAAATGAATGAATAAATAAATAAAGTCTGAATCAGAAACAAAGCAAATATGCCGTGCTGAGAGCCAGTAAGGGGTCCGGGAAGCCGGGGGGGGGGGGGGGGGGTGCACAACAGCCTGGAGGGGACCAGCGAGAGGAGGAGCCCAGCCAGGCAAGGACAAGGCCACTCTGGCCACCAGAGAGGCGGGGAAAGGGCGCCACCACTGAGCCAAGAGCAGGCGGGGCAGAACCGGGGCAAGCTGCCCTTTCCTGAGACACGGATAAGGAAGAGCGAGGGGAAGGAGGAGCTGCCGGAAGGGCGTCTGTCAGGATAGGGGAGGGACTCAGGGCTGGGCTTCGGGCGGGGCCTGGGGCCCCATGAGAGGAGCCAGAGCTGCTGTGGGCCATGCCTCTTGGGAATGGGAGAGCTGGGCCTCACCCGTACCTAGCCTGGACCCTGGGCTTCTGGCCTCCAGGTCCACGAGAAACGAGCTCTGCCCGGTCCAGTGTTCTGAGAAGTGGCCTCCGCGCACTAAGCCAGCCTCCACCGGCCGACCATGGACCGAGTGCCCTGAAACCATGAGCCAAGCTCAATCACTTTCTCCTTTCAGTCCTGAGCACTGGGTACTGAGTCCCAGGGATGCCAAAGCCAGCCAACACCGCACCCTTCCGGAAGACACCCACCCCTCCAGGCCGGGTCTCCCCACGCCCACCCACGGGCCTCACAGTGCTCCAGCGGCGACAGGTAGGACCAGGTCTCCTGCTCCTGCCCCCTAGCACTGCTCGGGCTGCTGCTGTCCCCACCCTCCACCGCCTCCACATCAGCAGGGAGCCGCACACAGAGCCCCAGGACCTCACACCCCAGGCCAGGCCCCCCCAAGCTGCAGGTGCTGGAAGAGGGGCCCACGTGGAGACCCAGTGCCAGCAGCCACTCTCTGGCAGGCCAGGGGCCGACCCCAGCCTGTGTCGCTCTCCACACTGCAGACCTCTGTCGGCCACCAAAGCACAGACCCCTCCCCCGAGCCCGAGAGCCACCCCCTGGCACCCCCAGCACTGGTGGCTCAAAGTCACGGCCCCTTTGCCACATGACCCGGGGGTCTGGAGACCCAGCCTGCACCACCCTCAGGCAGAGCAGAGCAGCTGGGCCAGGCTGTCCCCTCTCATCCACTCTCCGCCCACCTCACTGCCATGTGATGCCCACCAGCCCGGCTTTCCCGGCCAGGAGAAGAGAGTGTGGGGCATGAAGCCTGGCAGAGCAGGGCCCTCAGGCAGCAGCCTTCACTGTCCTCCCAGCCCTGGGCCTTCTCTTCTGCACCATTTGCCACTGGAACAGGACCCAGGACCCCTAAGCTCCAGCCCCGGCCCTTTTCATTTTTTGAAACAGGTCCCTGAGTCACTGAGTTGCCAGGCTGAGCATGAACTTGGGATCCTCCTGCCTCAGCCTCCCAGAGTACTGGGATTACAAGAGTGCACCACCAGGCCCGGCTTTAGTGTTGTTCTTTGATTGAACTTTTTCAGTCAGATGACTAACCAAATGCTATACAGACAAAGCTAGTTTTCATTTTTCCTACAGTTCTTTTTTCCCCGCCAGGGGTGTTGTTTTAAGATGGAGTCATTTTTCCCTTTGGACCATTTTTACTGGGACAGCAGGCACAGTGGCTGCAAGGGTGCCAGCACTCACCATGACGTCCCCCTTCAGCAGCTGGGCCGGCTCTATGGCAATGCAGATCCTGCTCGGGCTCTCAGGGCCAATGTTGCTTTGGGATAAGCAAAAGGGAGATCGTTATGTGGTGTCATGCCGTCACAGAGTACATATTAAAACACACACACACAAATAGAAAACTCAAATTACACAGGAAAGTCCGGTAGCCCAGAGACCAAAGCCCCCCCCCGCCAGGAGCCGAGGCTCGGCTGGGCCACTTACTAGATCCCCGATGTGTACAAGGGCTGCATGGCCTGGTAGACCTTCAGGAAGGGCCGGCAGGCTGCAAGAGACAGGGCCTTGTGAGGACGGGCTTAGGGCACACGGGCTGCGGCGAGCTTCAGGAGTCTCAGCCGGGCCTTGCCCAGGGGCCCAGGCTCTGAGTGGGGCCGGGGGACCAGCACCAGTGCGCGGTCAGCAAGGGGCCCTGTAGCTTTTTATTCTAAATTTATTTATGCATTCACTCGTAGTGGTCCAGGGTTTGAGCCCAGGGCCCTCCCACTCAGCTACATCCCCAGTCCTTTATCTTTTATTTTGAGACAGGGTCTCCCTAAACTCCCTCAGTTGGGCTTGAACTTGGTGATCCTCCTGCCTCAGCCTCTCAGAGTGCTGCAATGACTATGCCAGCAGGATCATCTCAAAGAGCAGGAGCAGCTGGGACCCTGGGACCAGCAGAGGAGGCTCCCATGCTGGCTCTGAGTTCAAGTGCACAGCTGAACACAGGGCTGCAGGCCCAAGGGGACACGGGGTATCTGTGACGCCCCACTGGCCACTGTCCCTGCCCTGGTCAGTGGTGTGGCCTGAACCACACAGCTGGGGCTCTGAGTATGCATGGGGGCGGTGACTGCAACCCTGGGGCCGAGGTGCAGATCTGGGCATTGTCAGAGGACAGCAGAGAGGCGCGGACAGGGACGGGGACGGGATAGGGGTGTCGCGCCCAGGACAGCAGGACCAGCCCGAGCCTCACCTCCGCCAGTGTCGAAGTTGGGGGTGCCGTGCAGCACGACACAGTGCAGGAAGAGGGGCGTGCCGTTCATCTTCACGGAGCCCGACAGCAGCCCGCTGAGGAACTGCACGTACCTGCGGAGGAGGAGGAGGCTCAGAGCCCAGCCTGCTTGGCCTCAGCGGGCTGCCCCTCCTGGGACCCTGGGGAGACCCGCCCTGCCACACGGGCCCATGCCCCAGGGCCTGCGGGCGTGCCCTCCACACAGACCAGGGGTAGGGATGCTAGGGACACAGGCACCAGCACCGGGCACAGGTGCCCGACCCTGCTCCCAGGGCCTCGCATGAGGCGGGACCAGCACACGGCCAGCAGCTGGCCACGCTCCCTCCTGCGCCTTGCCACTGCCCCATCACAGAAGTGGGACCTCGGAGCCCCTGGCCGGCTCTGCCCCCGAGTCTCCTTCTGGCCTGCCCAGCCCCAAGGCGAGGCCCAGCTGTCCACAGGCGGGGCACACGTGTGCAGGAGGGGACTCTCCAAGGCAGGAGTGCACGCTCGCCGGAGTCCTCAGGGGCACGATGCCCAGCAGGGCCCGGAACGAGCACCGGACCCTGGTACCGCCTGCTCTCCTGAGGCTCAGGCCTCCAGCCCTGTGCCTGCCTGGAGCCCGGAGCTGGCACCGCCCTGCTTCCCCCTTGGTGGCCCCTGCAGCCCAAACCACCTCTCTGTGAATCCACCTGCCTCCTCCTCTGCCTCCACTGCAGCCTGCAACCAACGTCGGGGGCAGACCACACCCCTAGGGCCCCACCAGCCGACCACCTTCGAGAGGCAGGAGGTGACGTCTCCAGCACAGGGTCCTCACATCTGCCTCAAAGCCCCAAGGGGACCAAAAACCACCTCACGCCAGAAGGAGTCAGGAGGCCCAAACTCAGGTGAGACAAATCACCAGGTACACTGAGATTCAGCCCCGCCCACAAAGTGGCTGAATTTGCAAACTGAACAAGTGGAAACTTCTCAGGCACATTAAAAAAATATATAAATAAAACCCTACTTGGAGCCCATGCTCTGGGAAAAGCTTCAAAAACAGCCCTGGCTTTGTCGTCGGAGCAGCTCAGTGAGGGGCGCAGTTTGGGTCTCCATCCACCTGGTGGCAGATTGGGGAGGAGCTTCACAAAAGCCAGAGACCTGGTGTCCCGAGGCTGAGACCCAGGCTCCAGGGACTCCCGTGGGGCCCGGCTCCGACCCACAGTCCCGGCCCAGGTCCCTGGAGCCCTGCGACACCAGCAGCTGCTCCTCGTCTGCCACAGTGCTGGGCAGCAGCCAGGAGGGATCAGACTCGAATCCAAAGGGTCAGATGGCAGCTTCCTCTCTCCAAGACAGAAGGCCATCCTGCAATCTCCCTGGCTCTTCCTGGAAAAATCTCCATGGCCTGGCTTAGGATAAAACTGCAAAGCTGCTCGGTGACAGGCCCCATGCGGGAACTGCAGAGGATGCACACAGATGGCTGCATCTCTTCAACACTCTCCCCCTGCTCAAGGCCCTCCAGACCTCAGCCTGTGGGGCAGGTGGAGAAAGTCAGGCTCCCTCTAGCAGTACAACACTTCAGGGTCCCCAACTTCTCTCCGGCTTCAGGAAACTGCAGATGTAAGACAGGAGTCGCCTTAGGGTGACCCGTGGCCCTGTCTGTGTCGATAAAGTTTTATTAGGACACAGCTACATTTTGCTCCCTTCCTGCAGCCTACAGCACTGTAGTAAGAACAGTGGGGACCTCAGAGCTTCAAAGCCAGAAGCAACGTCCTCAGCCCTTAGGTCCAGTTCACCAAGCCCCAGCCCAGCAGACAGAAACAAGTCCCAGACCTGCAGGGTGGTCCCAGCTCTGGGGGCCAAGAAGGGGTGCTGGGTCTGCAGTGTGGGCTCCCACAGACACGAGGGATGCTCTGTTCCGCCCTCACAGTCCAGGGCATGACCCGAGGGTGCTGTTCAGGGTGTCACAGGGGACAGAGGCGGTGCCTTGCTTCCCTCATCTGCTCAGAGGTAAAATCCTACTCGCCTCTTCCCTCCATGCTGGGGTGAAGACCTACCGCTTCTGCGAAGGCTGCATCAACGCTGAGACTTTGTCATCATAAAACTTCTTCATGGCAAACCTGTCCAGGGCCTGGTCAGCACTGGGGAACAGAGAGAGAAAGGGGGGCTCAGCACTGCGGAGCTCCTGCCCCACGGCGAGGTGGCCAGGACCTTCATCCTGCAGCTGCCCCTCCCCACCACCAGGAGCGCCATTCTTCTGCAGCAGCGGTGCACATTCATCCAACTTCCTGTCCCTGCCGGATCAAAGCGGTAGTGGGATCTGGGAGTGCACACCAGTCATCCCAGCACTCTGGGAGGCTGAAGCAGGAGGATCCCAAGTTGGAGCCCAGCCCCAGGGAATTTAATGACTTAGCAAGACCGTGTCTCAAAAAATAAAAAGGGCTGGGCATGTAGCTCAGTGGGATGGTCCTGGGTTCAGTCCCCAGCATCAATCAATCAATAGAAAATGGCGCCACACCTCCAGGGTCTGAACTCACATGTGAAATCCCACCTCACCCACCGGAGACCCTGAGAGGGGCTCCACATGCAGCTGTGACTGAGACAACAGCGAACCCAGCCTCCGGCCTGGAGCAGACTTGGGACGTGTCCCCAGCAAGCACTCATGAGGCCTCAAGAGACGAGTATGGGGTGCTCCGCAAGTGACCCCACTTCTAGGGCGGGGGTGGACGACAGCTCGGGAAGGGGCAGCCTGGGTGGACAGGAAGTGTGAGGCGCCCCAGGCTGCACAACTCCACTTGAGACGGCAGAGCAGCCCTGAGCCCCAGCTCCAGGGTCCCACGCGGGGTTCTCAGAACTTCCCGAGCCCCCACTAGGGGCACTCCGGGCCTCAGCCCAGTGAGAATCTTAGAGTGGATCACAGTGAGACGTCACTACAGGAGGCGAGTGAGCCAAGAGCTGCCCGGAAAAATCGGGCAGAAACATGGGCCTCTGCTTAGAAAAACGAGCAGGCGACCCTGCAGAGAAAATGCTGGATCCAGGATTTGCAGACACTCGGGGAAAAAAAGCAGCCAGATGGGCAGCAGGACAAAGAAAATATACCCAAAGGGAGTTCAGTGGGACTGACTCCCTAACACTGCGAGGCGGCTGCTTCTGTCTGCGTATGCAAGGCCAGCTGCGGTACCGTCACTGGGAGCCCCAGGTTCGCCTGGAACACTCCCAGGCTTCGTGGCCAAAGTCATGCAACTACAAACCATGCAGGGCTGGTAGACATGCACTGTTCTGGAATTCAGTTGCTTAATTAAATGCTGAGAACACCTCTGAGGCAATGTTAATGTCCAGCGACAACAGCACTGTTAGTGCCAGTAATGCCAGCCCTGGCCCTGTCTTTGAGCTGTTCTTACAGCACCGACACAAGAACACTCTCCCTTGTGACCTGAGTCTGTTTCCTGCTGTTCCAAGCCCGTAATGGGGGCCTCAAGCGCGTGAGTCAAGCTGAGGGGGCCACGTAGAGCAAGAGCGCGTCCACTGCTGAGCCACGCGAGCCCCAGCCCACGAGTACGTCCTAAACTGGACTTGGCTGGCATGGACGCACTGTCAGGAGGGACCACACCTGGACAAGGCCGAGCACGCGGGACTCCCCACAGTCTCTGTCCCCCCAGACCTGGCCCAGGCCTGGCTTCCCACTTGGGGAGTGAGATGGAGAGCGAGTGGCCCAGCGACTCCGGGCCTCAGCTTCCTCATTCGACAATGGGAAGATAACTGCCACCTGGGGGTTCATCGGGAGGAGTCAGGGGAAAGGAAACTTCTGGCGTGCTTCCTGCAGCCAGGCAGGTGAGCAGGAGGCCGCCCCATCGATCCCCACAGGGTAAGAACCAACCCTGCATCTGCCAAGGACACTGCCCTGTGCTACCGGACAAAGACGGGCTCACTGCCCTGCACGCCTCTGGGATGCCATTTCCGCCCACCCATCCAGCACTCAGCACCCCAAACAGGAAACATCTTTTGCAGGAGTCGGAACCTCCTGCGGAAGCTGGGCTCAGGGACGCCCAGCAGGGCCCACCTGCACCGGCCCGGCCCTGCCCGGCCCGTCCTACCTGGCCGAGACGTTGGTGAAGTGCATGTAGGACGAGATGACCACTCCAATGCGTCCTTTCCCGCCCTGCAGGGACAAGAGAAGAGCAGATGTTCTCCAGGACCCCACAGCAGAGGCGCCAGGCGACTGGAGGACACTCAGCCGGGGTCAGAATGCAGGGCATGCTCTGGAGATGCTGGCGGGAGCCCCTCTACCTCCTGCCCCTCACCTGGGGCCACAGTGAGAGTCGGAGGGCCCCGAGGACAGGTCCACACGGCCACCACGCCGGGGCTGCAGCAATGAGCCTGACTGCATTGTCCAGGTGAGGCCAGAGGGGGCACTGCAGGCGGCAGCCACAGCGCAGAGCTGGGACCACAGTCTCAGAGAGCAAGGGGCGTCCCAGGCCGGCATTCAATGCCCCCAAGCATCCAGGCTCTGCCAGCAGCCTCCCTCCTTCGCAGAGAGGAACAGGCATTGCCCACACATGGCCGGGGACACGCACGGCCCAGCACAGGGGGAGCTATGGAGAGAGGGGACCCAGCGACGGCCACCTAAGATGCTTCCTCCCTGGGTGCTGATAGAACCTGCGTCACTCAGGCATGGAACTGTGGGCCGCTGTATGTGTCCTTTCCACATGACACGCGCTCCCCAGCTACTGCTGAATAGGAAGGGACAAGCAAATTCTGATCCACCCACAGTCACATGCGGATGTCATTGTGAGGGGCCTCTGTCCTGGGAAAGCCAAGGGTGCCCAGGGGATTTCAGGTCCTTTGCACTGAGCCTGGCACATGCAGATTGCAGCTAATTGTAGAGCTCTCCGTGTTTCTGGAGTAAAATGATACTTCTTTTAAGAACAGAAGTTCACCAATGAGAAGAGAGCCCCAAACAGACAGATACAGGGTAGCATTCCCTGCTGGTATCTTCAGTCAATTATTTTTGTAGCTTTATCTAGTTATAGATAAAGAAAATGTTAAGAGAGTCTAGAGAAGGGAGAGCAACAGAGTAATAGTGGGGCCTTCAATACCTCACTTTCACCAGTGGACAAAACGTCTAGACACAAAATCAGTTACAAGGAAAAACCACCCAACTCGAACTGCACCCCGGGCCCCTCCGACACGCTCAGGACGCACACGCCTCTCACGGATCACGGAAGACGGCAGCCTGGACCCGGGGCTGGGCCGCGAAGCAAGTCCCAACAGAGCTGAGGAGACTGAAATCCCAGCAAGGCTCTCTGCCAACTGCCCTGGTAGGAGACCATAAATCAGTAACGGGAGGAATCTTGGAAATATCACAAATATGTGGAAGCTAAACAAGTTCATGAGCAACAACTGGGTCAAAGAAGAAATTAAAATGAGAATTTAAAAATATCTGGAGACAAACACAACTGTAATGCGATATACTAAAATTTATGGGAGCAGAAGCACTTCCAAGAGGGAAGTTTACAGCAATAGCATCCATAGCCAAAAAGAGGAGATATCGCAAATAAACAGCCTGACCTTATACCTCGAGGAACTAAAAACACACCAAACTCAACAAAAGAGAGTAGAATTAAAGAACTAGCAAAGCTCACAGCAGAACAAAACAGGGACTCGGAAAGCAACAGAAAAGATCAATGAAACTGACAGTTGTTTCTTTAAACATGGTAAACAAAGTTGATGAAGCTTTGGTGAGAGCAGCTAAGGGAAAACTCAGCTCAACAGAGACTAACAGAGTGGACAGAAGCGTGCAGGGTCACCAGAGACGGCTGCAGACACCTGCACCCCAGCAAGTGGAGTGGCCCAGCAGAGAGGGCCACTTCCTGGACACTCACAGGCTGGCAAGGCGCGAGGGAGAAGAGAAAGAAACCACGCCACTGAGAAAGGAAGGAGATGAGCTGAGTAATAAAGTCCCCCCTGGAAGAAAAGCCGGGCCAGGCATCTCCAGGGTAAATTCTAACACTTAAAACAGTGGTATGGATCCTTCTCAGGCGTTTCCAAAAATCCGGAAGGGAAAATTTCCAAGCTCTTTTTACAAGGCCTGCATTACCCTGAGGGGTGCTTTTGCTTTTTTATTTTCTGAATTTTCTTTTTATCAGTCCATGTTTGTGGGACATGATAGCACTCATTATGGGGAGCTGGTACATGTACACATCTTGGTTCCCTTTACGTCCCCTTCCCCTCTGATGTTTTTCCTCGAGAGCCAGATGGTAATATTTTAGGGTTCGCAGCCCTGGGGCTCTTGCTGCAAGCCCTCAGACCTGCGAGGCTGTACATGAAGAACGGGTGGCCGCATGCCCATCAGACTCTATGAAATCTGAACTTCATAAAACTCTGACGTAGCCAGATGTAGCACGCCTGTGATCCCAGCATTCTGGAGGTTGAGGTAGGAGGATCACACTGAGTTCAAGGCCAGCTTGGACTATACAGCAAGACCCTGCCTCAAAAAACCAAAAACCGTTTTTCACATAACAAGCTCTTGGGTTGTAGGGCAATGGGTGGCAGCATCAGTTCTTGTCTACGGTCTGTTCCCGCAGGCAACAACCTTTAGGCCTGGACGCTCTGGTTTGATCTTAGCAAAGCCGCAGAATCGCTGACCCCACAGGTCCTGAGTATTCACCACCAGGATGCCCAGTCGAAGGGATGAAATCTCCCAAAGCAGTGCCAAGAGGGAGGCAGAACACCCCACCCCGATCGAGACCCCCGTCAGACAGGAGAGGGACGTGGCGACCCGACCTGCCCTGCCCCTGCCCGTCCAAGCCCAGCTATGTGGGTCTGTCCCTGGCATGCAGAGGGAGGGCCGGCATTCTGCAAAGCTGGTGCATTCCGCCCACGATCGTCCACCTTAGCAATTCCAGTGAGAGGGCCCTGCTCGAGGCTCGGTTCACACAGGAGCCTGGGGCTGTCGCTGGCCTGCAGTCTCAGTGTGGTTGGAATGAAGTCCACGGGCACAGAGTTGCTTAAGAAAAGGACACACTGTCGAAATCTTTGGGTGGCAATTTCATACCCGGGGACCCACATGCTTTGAATAAAATTAAAATCCATCACTTAGAAAAGGGAGAAACTGAGGGGGAGAAAGAGTAGGAAAAATGACCAAGATATGATATGTCCATGTAACAATTCCCCAAGATGAACGGAACTACTATGTACGGTAATATACACAATGGAGTACTACTCAGCCATCAAGAAGAAAAATTTGAGTCATATGCAGGAAAATGGATGCCCCTTGAGACCATAATGCTAAGTGAAATAAATCAGACAGAAGGTTAATTGTTGCATGGTTGATTTTACATGAGAAGCCCAAAGCATAAATAACTTAAAGAGCAAAATACAAGATAAATGATAGAAAACAGGGCAATGGACCTTTGGAGATGAGAGTGGGATATGGGACAGCGGGAGACAAAGGGAAAGGAGAGGAAGGAGAAGGAGAAAGGATGAAGATCCGATATTGTACGTGCTGCTTCCCCAAGGTGAATATGTTCATCATGTACTGCAAATCTGTGCTAATAAAACAAAATGGAGACAGAAAAACTTCATATGCACAGAAACCAGCATTTAAACAAGGGACCACTACGTATTAAAATTATGCTTTTGTAAAAAAACTGCAGCCAGATCCAGCAACATGACAGCTAGGCACACATTAAAGAAACTGGCACACACGCGTGTCATGGCAGCTCCATTCCTAACAGCAGAGTGAAATCCACCCAGGGCCATCCTGAAGGGCAGAAAGGGAAAACTAGCAGGAAGGAGTTTTACTCAGCATCAGTGCAGGAGGAAATCCTTCCCTCCAGAGGACACAATGTTAAAAAGCATTGCAACCTTGTTGGTTTCTTTAGGACCAGCAGGAAAACCAGCCCTGGGGCCCACGGCACCCTCAAACCTGCAGGCCGGGGACAGGGCGGGCTCACCCTGCAGTGGATCACCACCACGTGCTGCGGGTCGCTGTTCAGCCAGGACTCCTGCGCCTTGCATATCGTGCACATCTTGTCCAGGGGCGGCGCGTGCAGCTCCGGCCAGCCCACATCCATGATCTGCAAGGACAAACAAGAGCTGCCTCAGTTTCCCTCTCCTGAAGCCTGCGGAGCCCCTGCAGGACGGCTTCTTTCCTTTACCGATGTAACTGTCTGGGAGCACAGGATGACGCCGTGACGCTATTACAGACAGCTAAGTTAACTAGAAACCCTGTAAGCAGGCGGACAGGGCTGGGCCTCAAAGAAGTCAGGCCAGAGGGCAGCTGTGGTGAGGCGCACGAAGGCCAGGCCTCAAGACAAAGATGTGGACCACACCCACATACTTCCCCAGGGATGCACAGCAGTGACTGATACTCTCAATAGGAATTGTTCAGTCCACTGTGCTTGCTGCGTGACCTGCTTCCCATTGGATCCCTATTTGATCAATATTACCTAAGCGACTACACTTGTAATCTTATTGGTTGACCATAGTTTTGTCCCACCTTATACCTGCCTCACTGCATGGTTTGCTCTATAAATCTCCCTTGAGGGCTGGAGATTTAGCTCAGAGGCGCCACTCCTGCCTCACAAGCGCAAGGTCCTGAGTTTGAACTCCAGTACCAAAAGAAAAAAACTCCCTTGAGAAGCGGGGTCTGTGGACAACCCACCTTCCAGGGCCCCTTTGGTCTCTCTGAGAAGCTGTCTTCCTCCCAATCAATTCTGCCTACTCTGAACCTCCGGTGTTTCTAGAATTAGCGGACAAACGGCAGGTTGGGAGTATTTCAGGGTCTATGTATCATCCCTCCATCACACCCCCTGCATCAACTCCAGGCCCCTTCCCCGTTGCATCCCTGGTTTCTCAGAAGCAGGAGGCAGGGCTGTCTCAGTGAGAAGCACCAGAAATGGCTCAAAGCAGCTTGGATGCTTCCAGAAACTGAAGCCGGGAGGCTGGAGAAGTCATACCCAAGGTTGCCACTGAGAGCCAGGAGACCATTTCCACACCTCCGTGGGATCTGCGGAGAGGGCGTTGGACACAACTCCCTCTGCTGCCGAGGAGTGTGCATGCAGGCCACTGAGCACGCTGCCTGGGGGAGGTTTCTATTCTAACGCTGGGGACCAAAACTGTTTCAGATCTCGGGGTTTTGGGGATTTTGGAGGACTGGCATAGACTCTTCTCCCTCAGCATCCCTAATCCAAACCCTGAAATTAAATACAAAACAAAACAGGTGTGGTGGTGCATGCCTCTATTCCCAGCACTCAGGCTGAAGTGGGAGGGCTGCCTTGAGTTCAAGATCAGCTCAAACTACATAACAAGATCCTGTCTCAAAACAGCATAAAAAAAAATCTGAAATTGGAAACACTCCAAAAGCTAAAACTTTCTAGCTGGGCTTGGTGGCACACATCTGTAATCCCAGCACTCAGGAGGCTGAGGCCTGTCTCAAAAAAAAAAGAAAAATCTAAAATTTTTGAACATCAGTGCAGTGCTCCAAAATTTCAGATTTCAGAGAACAGTGGACACTCCAACTGTAGGTTTTTTATTCCAATGGCTGCAAAATATTTCCAAAATATGTCCTATGTCTCCACGTATATAATATGGTGTGTGTGTGGGTGGGTGTGTGTGTGTGTGTGTGTGTATGTGTGTGTGTGTGTGTGTACCACAAGTCATACTTACACCATCTGGAAAATTTTCCCTAAATCTTTCTACTGAAAATATTACGGGTGGAAGCCCCACCATGGTGGGAGGAGAGTTGTGCAGTGTAGGAGACACCTTCCCAGCACAGAGACATTCTCTATCTGGTTGTGGCGGTTACACAAATCTGTACACAAGAGAAAGTGCCAGAGAGGGCGTGTGTGTGCACACACACACAGAGGGAGAAGCGCACCTGACACTGAGCCGGCCAGGGCTGTGGGCACCAGGGTAACGTAACACACCTGCAGCCCGAGGGTTTGGACTTCAGGGTGTTTATACGCACACAGCAGGTGTCTTAGGGATGTGACTCGAGAACACACGTGAATCTCACTCATGTCACACTCGGCATCCAGATGACCTCACGGTTAACTCCTGACAAGACTTAATAATCTTGCGCATGAAACAAAGTGTCACGGTGTGGAACTTTCCGCCGTGACACTGTGCCGGGACTCAAAGTTCAGCGTTTGAAGCACTTTGTATATGCACTGCCGAAGCAAGCACATTTGAAGCATTCTGAATTTCAGATTTTCTGATGAAGGCTGTTCAGCCTATATTCATATTCAAGTCTCCACCTCTGGAGGAGACCAGGCTGGGAGTCCACGAGACCTCTCTCTACTATCACTGCACCTTCTTACAGAGCTATAATTCTTTCAAACTAAAAATTGTATTAATTTTTAAACTCCCAGCTGGGTGTGGTGGTGCACGCCTGTCATTCCAGCACTCTGGGAGGCTGAGGCAGGAGAATGGTCGCTTGAGCCCAGCCTGGGCATCCTAGAGAAAACCTGCCTCAAGAAAATAAAGAAGGCAGGGGTTCAATCCCCAGCACCACACACACACACAAACACACACATAATACCCCACTATCAAGTTCCCGATGCCCCATATCAAGTAACAGTCCCCCAAAACCTGTAACAAATTCCTGTGCATGGCAGAACAAGCACTGGTTACACTTCACACATCTCAGAGTCCACAGGAATGAAGCCCATACCTTTGGGTTAAGCTTTGCGAGGTCAAATCTCTTCTCCGAAAGGTTTAATACCTGTGAAGAAGAGATCAGATAAATATCAACTCAAGATGAAAAAACCAGAGCTGCATTGAACTGGAGTGTACAGATGTGCACCTCCTCGAAGACTGAGAAGCAAGGCCAGGAGGACCCACCCAGACCCTCATAAACCCCGCCTACTGCTAATTCTACTTTTGTTAGCTAAGCCTAAAGCAGGCAATTTACTATGTTACTGTGTCTCTCACTCTACTGGCTACAAAGTATTCCGCAACACAGCAGCTCTGTAGATCTACAAGTACAGAGCCGGGTTCTCCAGGTCCTGCTCAGGAAGTAGGAGGCAAATTCCCGGAGGGCAGCCTCTCTGAAAATATCAGCTTGTTGGTACACGTTTGTAATCCTAGCACTCAGGAGGCTGAGGCGGGAGGATCACTGTGAGTTCAAGCCCAACCTGAACTACATAGATCTCAAAAGACAAAACAAAGCAAAAAAATTCATACAGTAAAAGACACATCACTGTGAACACATCTCAAAATCTCCCTCATTTCAACACACTCATCCCCTCTTCCTCACCACCTTTTGCAGCAGCTCTGGAGTCCTCTTTCCTGAGGGTCTTTAGTTGTGCTGTTCTGATTGTCTCGATGTCCTAATTCAAAACATCTCCTTTCAGTGGTCATTTGGACAAAGCCACACAGCGCCAGCTCTGGTGCATAAGGTAGATGAGGACAGTGTCATGTTCTTTGGAGCTGCCTTTCTGCTGCATGGCGCTCAGTGACTTTCATCACACATCATAAGACCCTCAGGAAAGAGGAGTCCAGAGCTGCTTCAGAAAGTGGCCAGAATGATGGGACAAGTGTGTCTGAAGCAAGGCTGAGCATTTTGAGGAGGTTCGTGGCAATGTGTGTTTTACTGTAACAGATTTTTTGAGACAGGGTCTTGCTACATAGCCCAGGCTGGACTCAAACTCAAAGCATTCCTCCTGCCTCAGCCTCCCCAGTACTGGGATAACAGGCCTGAAGAGAGGGCAGAGAGAGGGCGGCCGGTGGGGGGCGGCTTCCCATGGAGCGGCCAATGGCGGGTTTAGATCCAGTGTCCCCGAAGTGTCTGTGTGGAAGGTGCTCACCAGTGGACCCATCCACGGGCGAGGTCATGGCTGAGTGCAGTTAGGAGGCGGGGCCTGGTGGGACACGGTCACTGGGGAGAGACCTCAAGGCTGCCTTCTCCTCCCCGGCTCCTCCCTGCTCTGCTTCCCGGCTGCCACTGGTTAAGCGTCTTTCCCTCTGCCAGGCCCCTCTGCCTTGAGACCAGCCGACCATGGACTGAATTCCACAAAACTGTGAGCCAAAATGAACCTCTCCTCCCTTCCGTTCAGTGTTGGGCACTGTATGCCAGGGGAGGGCAAGTGACTGTCACAGTCCCTCTGTGACAGGTCCTGCAGTGCAGGAGGCCGGGCCACCCCTTCCTGTCCACGCAGGTCAGGGCCACAGGGGCTGCAGGGCAGAAGGGGCAGAGCCGGAGGCTGGAGTCCATGCGGGACCCAGGCCAGGGCCCTGCAGCTGGACACAGGCACCCTAACCCTGTACACGCGGCACTTCAGGCAGGAGAAGGTGACAACAGCCTCCCTGTTGCTGCCAGGGCAAGGGAAGGGCGAGAGGGCTGGAGGGAGCCACAGGACCCAACAGCAGGAAGCTGAAGTGAGGCTCTGTGGGCACAGGAAGCCTGTCCTGCAGTCCTGGTGTGGGGAGGGAGCCACCTTCCTGCCCGGGAGGCTGTGTGTCCCTGGACCGCCCTCCCTCGTCCCCAGCCAGGCCAGGAGGCCATGTGGGGTATCCCCAGCTGACCTGGCACCCAGGTGAGGGAGCCGCAGTGCTGCCCACCACTCACCAGGTAGTTGTCCCCGTGCTTGGACTTGAGCATGCGTGTGACGGCCTGCAGGCTGTGCAGGTAGGACTCCTCGGAGCAGCCGGCGGGGAAGGACATGGCGATGATGCGCTCTGTGATGTAGGTGAGGTCCAGCTGGTGGCCGTCTGCCATGGTGGGGCTCAGGGCCGAGGGCCTGCGGGAGAGGAGGGGCCCAGCAGCCAAGGGGAAAAGGGAAAGAAGACTGTCATCCACCACCATGTGAGGACCTGAGAGAGAGCACCCAGGTCACTGACCACAGCACATCTGCTACCCTGTCCACTCCCAGGGGTCAAAGATCCGAACTCTCACGGGGATCAACAGGTCCAAACGGCTGCTGGCCATGAGCAGCTGGGGTCAAACCCGTCACCACCAAAACACTTTGGCTGACTTTACTTATTTATTTATTTATTTATTTATTTATTTATTGGGTTTTGTTTTTGTTTTTGAGGCAGGGTCTGGACCCCAGGCTGGCCCTGAACTCTCGGCGATCCTCCTGCCTCAGCCTCCTGAGTGTTGGGATCATAGGTGTGCGCCACTGAGCTTCCTCGCTCACTTTAATCTCAGATATTCTTTCACTGAAAAGCCCATATGACAGCTTCTAAAAGCTGCGGGCCCTTGTCTGGGGACAGGACGAGGCCATGTCTAAGGAAGGCATCGTGAATCAGGCACCCGAGGCTGAAAGGTTTCCACCCGCGTCCCAGTGAGGGTCTACACTTTTCCCTAAGCTCTTGCTTTCTCCACCTTATTCGCTGATGTGAACATGAAAAGGTCCTGGTTATTTCTAAAGTCATAGCTGCTTTTGAAAGCACTACTGCATAAACCAGGGTCTTCCCACGCCATGGCCCCGGCAGGCCTCTTCCGAACCCCCATGACCCCCATGGGCACCAGAGCCTCACGCGAGTTCTCCCTGTGCCCTCAGCCCGCGAGAGCCATCACCCAGGAGACACCCAGGAGCATCACGGGCCTCTCACGCACCCGCACTCAGGTGCAGGACAAGGGCACTGGGCTGGGCCGGTTCCAATGGGAACAGCGAGAGAGCACCCGCCCAGTCTCGGCTCTGGAGATCGACCCACAGCCGGGCAACCAGGGGACACTCACCGAGCAGGCTGGTCACAGCACACAGGAGCAGGCGGCACAGAACGGGCTGGAGCCTGTGAGGGACAAGACAGTCTGGAGCTGGCTGCTGTGCCAGTCCTCAAGGGCCTGTCACTGTGGGAGGGGACCACAGACAGAGGGGCCACAGGCAGGGTCTTCACGGCAAACCCAGCATGGCCACGGCCTCCGCCGACTCCTCTCTGCCCAGGGACTGAGCTCCATGGCCTAGCAGGGCAGGGCTGGCCCAGGGCAGGCAGGGGACACCCGCCACCACGCAGGCCAGCTCCGCTCCTGGCTGCTCTGGCCGATCACTGCCTGACATCCCGGACGCCCGCCTCAGCTCCCACTCCCCAGTGCCAGCAGCGCAGAGCAAGCCTCGCCGCAACCCAGTCACAGCCCACAGGAGCCCAGACGGCGCTGCATCACACACCCAGGCCACACGCACTGCCCCAGGGGCCAGCAACTCTGCAAGTGACAGGGAACCCTGCCTCCAAAGTGAGCCGCCCATGCCTGGGGACCCTGGGGACACAGCCCCGGACACCAGCCTCCCACTTCAGGCTCCATCTGCTGACCGCGGCCTGCGGACAGCTCCGGAGCTTCGTGCACCCCTAACACACACCTGGTGCCCCCACTGAGGGTGAAGGACAGGGTGGAAAATGAACCCCGGGGGCAGCATGGGACCAACAGGACAGCGTCCCCAAGTCACCGAGGTGAACCATGTGCCAGCTCCTAACCCCAGAGGGGCACCTGGGCCTCCACGGGAGTCAGCACTCACTCCCGCCGGCTGGGGTCCTGGGCTCGGTGGCCTCCCGGCCTGCTATAGTCCACCCACTCCTCCTGAGGGCCTGGGGACATGGCCTGCACTGGCAATGGTGCCCAGCCTGCCTGCTGGGCTCTGGGGACTGACTTCCTGCGCACCTGAGGGGTCCAGCAGCCTGTCCACTGCCCCTGCCCGCAGCACTGGCTCCTGCCTGAGTCAGGGATGGTGGGGCCTTCATCACACCTCCATCCACAGGGGTGGAGCGAGCAGAGGGCCCGGGAGGGGCCGACCCAGGTGAAGGCCAAGCCCGCAGGGTCCAGCAGCGCTGGCCCCCTAGTCTCCCCACTGGGAGCTCCTCTGGCCCCAACCCAGCGATCCTGCGGCCCAGGGATGGGCCCAGCTCCCTCTCCTGATGAAACCACATCTGTGGGCCAGGCCAGGAGGCCGCCAGCAAACAGGAGGTGGCCACGAAAGGGCAGATGACCCAGCTGCCCAGCGGCTCTCCCCTCAGGGACTGGTGCAGCAATGGCTGAAGTTAAGGACATGCGCTTTTTTTGCTAAAGTTGCTAATTTTTTTTTGAAGCTGGCATAGCAGTGGCAGTTCTGCATCAAGGGGGCTGAAAACCCAGGGGCCAGGAAGGCCTGGGCTTGCAGGCCCTGCGCCTTCGGGACAGGAGAGGATGCAGAGCAGGTGCCTGGGTCCTGGCAACCGGGCGGAGAGGGAGGACGACGTCACTGTCTGAGCTGAGAGAAGCTCACCCAGCAGCTGAGGTCCAGGACAAGCTGGCCAGGCACTGAGCTCTGCCACTGACCCAGTTTCCTTCTCCCCCAGGCTATGCTGACCAATCAGCTTCCTGAGCCCCCAGGGCAGACTGGGCAGAGCCAGGGCCCCAGATTCATAGGCCTCAGTGGGCACATAGAAGAGGGGACCGTGATGTGCCCTTGGGCGGTGGACGCATGAAGACAGTGTGTCCAGGGCCTCACGTGGGGACGCACAGCTGCTGCCCTGCCTCTGTGGGTGTCCCTGTGAGTGTCCCGTGAACCCCCACCTCGCCATTCTTCCCGGGGTCGCTGCTCGGTGCTTAGCAATGGCCTCACTGAGCAAAGCGGAAGATGCCACAGGCCAGCACCACATACAGGTCCTAAGAGTTCAGTGGCCTGTGACAGCCACGGCCTGGAAGCCTCACATGGAAAATTCCAGGTACAAACAACCCCAGGGCCACGTCACAGGGCCTGTCACTCGGCTCCGGACTGCACCCCAGGAACCAGGGTTCCCCACATGATCAGGAGCAGCAGGCCAAGCCCAGAGGACGGGACAGTGTATGGCCATGATATGTGTTCTTGCTGGGGCTCTTATCAGTGGTCATATTTTTTCAGTACTGCGGTCTGATCTCAAGGTCTTCCCACGAAGCTGCATCCTGAGCCCTTTTTTGAGACAGGGTCTCACTAAGTCGCTCAGGTTGGACTGGAATTTGAGATCCTCCTGCCTCTGCCTTCCAGTGCTGGGATGACAAGTGTGCACAGCCACACCAGCTTACTGTTAACTCCCACTCTGTCCACTTTAAGGGTTAAACTTCATCTGAGGTCTGTACAGGTAGGCACAACGTAGTATTGCGGGGTTTCACACTGCAGCTGTGCACACTGTCTGGAGGCCTGGGGACACACGGGACAACCAGACCACCCTGGGCCAGTGTGCTGCCAATACCCTAAGGGCCAGCACCTGGGCCGAGAAGGAGGCACTGGCCCAAGTCTCCGAGGACACCCTGGTTTCCAGCAGCTGTCCACAAGTGTTGCCTCCTCCTGTCTGGTAGGCAACTGGGAAAAGTGTATGTACTTCAAAGACCACCCAAGCGTGGGTGGAGCAGGTCTGTCTGTAATCCCAGCACCAGGGAGGCTGAGGCAGGAGGATCCCCACAAGTTCCAGGTCAACCTGGGCAACTCAGTGATTTAGTGAGACCCTGTCTCAAAATAAGACATACAAAGCCGGGGATGCAGCTCAGTGTGAAGGCCCTGGGTTCCATTCCCCAGTCTTGGAAAAATAATAAAAATGAAGGCTGCCACCAGCCACGTGCAGGTGACAAACCCAGGGGCTTTGCTCATTCCCACCTCACCGCTGGCGTGGGGACAAGCGCCATCCCTGGAATCCCAGCAGCTGCCAGCAAAGCCAGCTGCACACTGGCCCCCAGCATGGCTGGGGGACCTGGAAGGAAGCTCAGAGACAGGCCCCAGGCCGCATAAACACGAGCTCCTCGTGTGGCCAGGGCACTCACGTGCTGGTGCCAGACCCTGAGACACCAACCCCGATCCCGGGGGCTCCCTGGGGTCAGCACCCACAGGACAGAGGCAGGATGAGCTCAGAGAGGCCAGGCGAGGGCTCAGCAGTCACACAGCCAGGGGACCCCACTCCCCCCACACACACTCCAGAGACAAGAAACCAACCAATTAGCTAGCAGGAGCGCCGGTTCCATCTGCTTTCCTCACAGCCCCGGATGTGAGCGGCGAGCGCAGGAACAGCCAGTGGGACCCCCACACCCAACTGCTGAAGCCACCTGGCTCTGAGGAGCTCGCGCCAGGATTATCTGGAACGCTGGGGTGGGCTCCTCCCTGGCCGCCGGGCAGGCTGTTCCGCGCCATATGGAAGGAGGGGACCGGGGGACGAAGCTGCAGGAGGCGGGTGCTGGCCAGGGGCGGGGAGCTGGGCACAGCAAGCGCACGGCCAGGGAGCCTGAGCTCCGGGACAGGAGCGGTGGGCAGGTAAGGAAGGCCAGGAGGGGACTCACCAAGCTCCAGGTGGCCGCAGCTCCTCCTCCTCCCACCTCCACCTGCAAGGCGAGCCGCGGAACACGTGCAACGGGAGGAGGCCACAGGGCAGGTGGGGTCGGGGTGTGCAGGGACCCAGGACAGCCGGGAGGGCAGCTGAGCAGGAACTACAGCCGCCCGCCTCGGCCGCCAGAACCAGACAGCCCAACCGGGGCACCCTGGCTGTGTGCTTCCTGGGGCCTGGGCTCTGGGGCCACACCGTGGACGCAGGCGCAGCTGGTGGAGTTTCCCAGCAGAAGCCTCGTGAGGTCCCGGGGCTGAGGTCCGGGCGGCACACACCTGCCTCCCCGCCCCCACCCTCTCCTCCCTCCTTCCCTCATTTGTTTTTCCTTCACCTCATTCCAAACAGAATTTGAAAGGATCATCAAGGACTCTGATACAATTTGTCAAATTTTTAAAATGAAACCATACCGCGCAGCTGGATGTGGTGGTGCACACATCTGTAATCCCAGCACTCTGGGAGGCTGAGGCAGGAGGATAGAAGGCAGAAGCACAGCCTCGACAATTTAGTAACTGAGCAAGACCTTATCTCAAAAGCAGAAATAAAAAGGGCTGGGGATGGAGCTCAGTGCAAAGGTTCTAGGTTAGATCCCCAGAGCTGCAAAAACAAAAACAAGCAAAGGACAAAACACACAAACACAGGGTGAAAGACGAGGTGAGGAGCCCAGAGAGAGAAGGCCGATCCGCCAGCCTGGCAGTGCTCGACCGGTTCTGAGTTTCCTGGAGGCCGGACACAGGGCAGGGCTGGGGACAGCGGGGCCTCCAAGGCCGCCTGGCAGGTCTGACTCGTCTTGGTCACTTCACACTCAGAGTGACAGGAAGGGCGCCTGCCCCAGCAGCTGTCTGAGCAGCACCTGCGCGTGACTGAGCTCGCGGGTCCCCTGAGGGACAGCAGAGGGACAGCAGACGCGTGCTCGCTTTGCAGCTTTGCAGCCGGGCATGACACAAAGCTCCTGTATTGTCATCGGCTGCTGCATGAGGAAGACACTGCTTCGTGCAGAAAGAGGACCGTGGGGAAGACGGGAGGGACCCTCACCTGGCACTGGGGCGTCAGCACCCAGGGAGCAGGGGCCCCCTAGGCCTGTGTCCCAGACCACCACGGAGCAGGAAGCCGAGCACTGGGGAACAGGGTCTAATGAGGATCCTCAAATGCTGTCTTTGTTTTCATTTTTGAGACAGGGTCTCACTGTGTAGCCCAGGCTGGCCTCAAACTCACAGCAGTCTTCCTGCCTCAGCCTCCCAGGAGTCGGGATCACAGGCATGCACCACCATGCCTGGTCCAAATGCCATCTTGTCTCCAATTTTCCACTCTTATATGTGGCGCTAAGGTGAGGGTTGCCTTCTGAGGTTCGAAACGCCCCATGTCCTGCGGCTGTCCACCTGACCCTGGGGACCCCAGAAGACAGCGAGCGCAGGGTGGTGCGGGGCTCATGCCCCTCCCACAGGGACCTGAGTCCCTCCAGCACAGGGGCTGCA